AAAGAAAAGAAAAGAAAAGAAAAGAAAAAGAAAGTTTTATCTCCAGCATGATTTTATGGAATCACTGTCTAGTATGTGGGCTGTCACTAACCCAAACCTTGGTAGACAGCAGTGACTATACTATTCGAAATTTCTGTGTGCCTGCCACGCAAGGTCCTGGGAATTCACTGGCAAACAATACGGGCACGATCCCGTTCTGCATGGGAAGCTCGGGCAACCTTTTCCATGCTTTCTGCATTCCTTCTTTCTTCTTTCTGGAGTTTCCTGATGCCAGCTCCTTGCATGGGTGAGCCAGAGATGGGCAGGGAAGGAGAGAGGAATACATTTATATTTAAAAACCCACACTTGCTACAAAAAAAAAAAACCCCTTTGCTGATGAGAGTATTTCCAAAATGCTTACAGGTGGAGGATGGTTCCTTAGCAACCTGATCATAATGAAAATTCCAGAAGAGCATCTGGAATTCTCTATGGCAGACATTCTAGTTGATTGGGAGAGAAGAAGGTCCAAGGCCGTCTCATAACAGGCAAACTATGCTAATATTAATGCTGGTGCCCACCGGCTAGCGCATAGGGAAGCCCGCGTGGGGCTAGCTAGCCCTGGGCACAGGGAGCTCCCTGGCTGGCTTTGAGTGCATGAAGTTCCGGAGGGCTCTTGTCTCCCTGAAGGCTCAGCTCCTTCCTGAGCCCAAGTCTGTCATCTAAGCAGAAGCTAGAGTCAGAACTATCAACCCTGGCCTGGCATGAGAGACGGTTGCGTGAACACCAGTGACACTACAAGCCCCCAGATGATAGGTGAGAAGGTCACAGTGGGCACCTACTTCAATATGGATTTGTTTGCCTTTGTGATAGCAGTGACATCGGAAGGACTAACCGCCCACTGCTACTTAGATTCTTCCTCCTTGGTCCCAAAAGTAGGCTGAGGCCAGAACCTCACAGCGAAGTCCCCAAGGCCTCTGAGCTCCACGTGGGTCTTCGCTGAGTCGGGCTGTGCAAGCCTGTGGTCACAGGCACCATGGTGACAGGTCTTTCTCAGCCCATTGCCTTGGAGACTTCTGATGTTTCACAACTGACGAGGCTGGTATATTCTAGGGTACAGAAAAGACGTCTGCCAGACTCAGCTTTAGAGTAGCTGATCAGCTTTAGAGTAGTATCATGACGTCTCTGGTCATTCGGGAGTCTGGGGACCTGATGTAGTGACATGCTAGCCTTGCCTTAGGCCTTGGAGTACTCGCCTGGCAACAAGAGGCCTCCTGAGATAGACCCAAGAGGGACAAGCTCTTCTGTCCAGCAGACCATATCCCAAGTGAGGGAAGAGACAGTGGACTCCTTCGCCTGCTGGGGCCCCTGAGCCCCAGGCTTCACTTAGGAATCCAAGCCCCACTGTGCTTTCCCATCTCACGCTGATGAGGAGCAAGAATCAGAGGAGGTCTCTCCTCCAAAGCTCAGGCACCAGCCTGTCACCGGGCACCACGGGATCTGTTCCAGGCATGGGGCAACAAGGGCCTCTGAGTGTGTGAAATGTTAAGAGCCTGACAAAGCACTTAATGACCAAGGAAAATCAACTCAGGTGCCGCAGGAAAGGTCTGGTACCAAGAATGTCTGGGGTTTTGAGACACTGGAAAAGCTTGCCTAATAATGTAATGGGCTCCCTTCCCTGGAAATATCTGGAAATAGGATAAGTGCTCTGCAGACTTGGAAGGGCCAGCGGTACTGGAGGTAAGAGATGGTCACACAACCATGGGGAGGGTTGGCCAGCAATGGCACACCTATGCCACGGCACATTTTCACACAAAGGAAAATACGCCAAAATATGTCTAACACTTACAATTTTAATCCTATCAAGTATATGTTTCAGTATATTCCCAGTGTCTTACAACCATTGCCACTATCTTCCCTAAAACTTTTCATCTTCTCAAAATGGATTCTGTAGTCATTAAATGCAAACTTGCTGGGTCAGGGTTGGGGTTCAGTGGCCTAAGTGCCTGCCTGGCAAGTGCAAGGTCCTGAGTTCAATCCCTGGTACCAAAAAAAAAAAAGCAAACTTCCCAAATCCCCTTTCTCCCAGCCTCTGAAGACCACCATGTTACTTTTTGTCTTCGTGATTTTTGACTACTGTATCACGTGTATGTGGCATCATGCAATATTAATTTGTCCCTTTGTGATCGGCTCATTTCACTTAGTATACCTTTCAGGTTAATCTCTATTGTAGCATGAGTCAGAGGTGATGGATGGATAGATGACAGACAGACAGACAGACAGACAGACAGACAGATAGAATAGGTAGATGGTGTGGGACAGACGTCTCACATCTTGTTTACCCAGTTTTCTGTTGGTGGATACTTGGGTTGTTTCTACCTTTTGACACTGTAAATCACGCAGCCCTGAACAAGTATACCTGTGCCTTCTTTCAGTTCTTTTAGGCACAAACCCATGAGCTGAATAGTCACGCACACACACACACACACACACACACACACACACAAATTAAGGCAAAAGCATTGTGCCCCAGAAGAAAATATGGCAGTGTCTTCGCATTGAGACCCAGTATGGAAAACAGACACTTAAACACTAGGTGACCTCTCAGGAAACGTGGGAGAAGGTTGTTCATGGAGCAATCAGACAGAGAAGGTTTCACAGAAGGGATGATATTTAAGCTGGATTTTGATAGATGACTAGGAGTTTGCCTGACAGGAAAGAAGCAAAAAAAGATGGAAAAAAAGAAACAATGCTGTTAAAAAAAAAAAAAAAGCAGTGTTGATAAAATATGGAATGCACATATCTTTTCAGCAATCTACTGGTAGGAGTTGTCTTGCAGTTATCTCATAAACATACTCAGGAATATGTCCAAAGATCACAGAGGAGACGTCTGTAAGACAAACTGGAGCTGCCAGCGCGGCTCCCTGGTTCACTGGTTAAACAAGCCGTGGTGCAGCCCCATGGTGCATTCACATGCAGCTGCTGAAAGGAGCAGGAGAAGGCTGGGTACTGTGGACACACACCTGAATCCAGCACTCTGGAGGCTGTGGCTTGGGGAGGGAGGGAGGCCGGAGAGAAGAAAGGAAGGGAGGGAGGGAAGCACCGGGGAAGGCAAGAGGGAAGGAGAGAGAAAAACACCCAAGAAAGAGGAAGAGGGGTACAAAGTGAAAAAGATCTCTGCGTGCTGATAAGGCAAGAATTCCAGGCTCATTTTTAAATGAAACAAAGATGCCCAACCCCACCACCACCACCCCAAGGATGCTCGGGAAGCTGGTAACAGCAGCTATCTTTGAGGGGAAAGATACCAGAAGTTCACAACATATCTTCAATTGTGTAGAGCCATGTGCATGTGTTGCATTAAAAGAAATGGGATTACGGAGCATTTTTATCTTCTTTAACATTTTAAAAGAGGAAAGCAGTTATTTTTCTGGAATTGTTTAGTCCCAATGGCTCCGGAAGGCAGAGGGACGGGAAAGAAGTTTAAAGGGCCAGCTATGAAGTGCTAGCCGTGAAGGATTCCTTTCAAAGCAGAATCGCGTCCTCATTTTAGGGCAGAGAACTGAGGGGCAGTGATGAGGGTTCGGCTGAAAGCTTTGGGCGCAGGAGTCTGGAGCCAGGGCTCCCAGAGGCCTCGGAGCTGTGCTGGGGAGGGAGACTCCGCCCCCTCCCTCTCCCTCCCCTCTTGCTAGAAGCCCAGTTCTCCGAGGAATCCCTGCCACACAGGGTTAAGCCTGGCGCTCGGCTTTACTGAGCGCGGGGGGTGGGGGGTTAAGGCAAAGGGGTCCGGCCCAGCCCCAGCTCCAGGCGCATTAATAAAATGCAGGTGTTTGTATTGTTGCTGCAGAGGGGAAGGATCGGCGATAGCGGGCGAGCACAGAGGCCCGGAGCACAGGGCGGTGGAGGAAAATGTGCCTGGGAGCCATGAAAAAGCAGTTTGCAGAGAGGCTGGTTGGGGGTGCAGAGGAATGCGGGAGTTTCTGGCTTGGCCTCCCCGCAGCTCCCCCTGGGGTTGGGGGAGGGAGAGCGCGCATGCGCGCACAGGCTGCCCCGCTCACGCACGTACGCATGCGCTGCTCCCTTAGCCAGTTCCCCAGGAACCCCTCAGACAGCTGAGCTGTGGCCCTCGCTCTTCTCTCTTATCTTGGAGGTGAGGTCTCCCCGCTGGGCCTCCTACCACCACCGAGTTTCTTGGCCCCTCTTTGGACGGGCCTTAAGCCAGCGTTTGGGGAGCCTGACTCCCTCCTTCCTTCACAAGCTCCACTTCCTTGGAGCTGGGGTAGGCGGTGGCACCTCTGCCCGGGCTTCTGGACGCGCAGCAGCTCAACCTGCTGGTGCCCAGCTCCAGGAAGTTTTATCTCGGTCTGGGAGCCACGTGAGACTCCAGGTCTGAAAGTGTATGTGACAAAGCAGACACCAGAGCTGCTCCTCTGGCCACCCCAGGGCAGGAAAGGGCTGAGGAGCGGCCTCTGCCGGCCCTTCCACCTACTCCCCTCAGAGCTGGGCAGGGCCAGGCTGCCTGGCCTTCTAGGGCGTTGCTCTCAGCTTGCCAGACATAGCAGCATAAAGCTAGTTACTTGCTTGGCCTAGTATGGCTCCTTGACAGGCCTGCATAGGAGGGGAGTTGTGAACATGCCCTGCCACAGGGAAAGGCTTTGGGTCATGGAGCAGACCCTAAGCTTTGCCGGGCTCCAGGCTGGAGTTTGCAGGAGGTCACGGTAGAGGCGAGGCTCTTCCAAGTGGCCGTGAATTCCTGGTTCCTGGGGGGGGGGGGGTTGGGGTACTCAGGGAAGACCCCCTTCACCTGTTCTAGACTGACCTGAGTGTGTGAGCACGTGAAACCCCAGCCCACAGAACTGTGCAGCGCCAAAGCCAGCCCCACTCCACAGCAGATGTGTTCCCTAGAATTTAGCACCCGGGGGCCTGCGCCTTAGCTCAGTTCTTTAAGTGGCTCCTTCAACAAAGCAGTCAGGCTCACGTTGCTGTGGTTCGATCCCCACAACTCAAGCCAGCCAAACCTGCCCTGAAGGCATTCGGAGAAAAAAAAACCTTCTGCCTAGAATTTAGCACCCGGAGGGCTGAGGGGAGCCGGAGCTGGCAAGACTCCTGCCCCTCTCCTCCTCACCACGCAGCCAAAAACACAGACCAAGCAGGGAGGACTCGTGGCCCACAAACTCTCCCACGCGGCTCCTCCAGAAGCCTACCGGCCCAGCGGTGCAGCGTGAACACCTGCTCAGGGTGGTGCATTAAGGAACTCTAAGGAAGCCATGTGTGGGGGTCCACTCAGGTACTCCTAGCACCCTGGGCGGTGAGGCCAAAGGATCAGAAGTGTGAGCCTGGTGTGGGCGACTTAGCTACTCAGAGAGACCTAGTAGCAAAATTGGAGATGTAGCTCGGTACAAAGACCCTGGGTTCAGTCCCCAACGCCACAGAAATGACAAAAACGTTGAAGAATCTTCTTATAAAGTTCCTGGGGCTTCCTGTCACAGACTCTGAACGCTGAAGCACCATGCCTGCAAGGCCAGACTTGGACTTGCAGTCTGTGGGGGTAACAGTGGGAACCATCCTGAAAATTCAGGATGCAGTGTCCCCAAACCTGGACTAAGTGGCCTCAGGGACCCCATGTCCCCCTGCCCAGCCTCTCTTTTCTGGAAGTAGGGTGGGGAAAAGCCTTGTAGCCTCTGGGCCTCAATCTGGTCTGAAAATCGCTGCTGCTTTATTGCTTTTCCCAACTTGTGACAGAGGTCGGGAGCAGCAGATGTTTCCAATGCAGGCCCTACCGGCCCGTCGAGGTTCCAGGCCCTGCGAAGTTCCAGGCGCGCCCTACAGCCCTGGCTCCCACGGAGAGGCCACGGCCCCCAGACCTCTGAAAGCACAGGCTGCCCAGCAAAAGGGACCCACGCTCCCTTGCATTCCCCGCCCCTTTCAGGAAATTGCCAAGTTGGCCCCTTGGCTTTCCCTTACCCTGTGCCGGCCCGTTTCCATAGCAACCGCCTCCCCATCCTCGCGAGCCTCTCCGCGCTGCCCACCCCCTCCCCTCGCCGCCCCCCGCGTCTCATCTGTCTGGGTGGGAAGTAGGATTAGAGAGTTCAACGGGCCGAGGATGCTTTTCCCAGGGCCGCTGCGCCTCCGTGAATCCTTTGCGGCTGCCGGCTCCTGCCCCGGGCTTTTCAAGTCCCTAGACTTAATGACCGGCCCTGGGTTTCCTCTTCTTCTCTTTCTCTGCCTCCAATAAAGCCGGAGAATTAACCCAGGTTTTAAGTGCCCCGGTTCCAAGTTGCATATCAAAGGGGGCTTCCCCAAGCTGCTTCTGCATTTCAAAGGGGCTGATTTATCGCTTTCACTTAAACCGGCACATTTTGGGGTAAGAGTTTTACCCAGAGGTCAAACTCTGGAAAAACAAATGGATCCCCATTCACCCCCTCCTGGGGTGCTGTGAGCCCTTAGTATATAAACTGCCTGCGGGGGAAGGTGGAAAGCGGGCGACGCTTCCAGCAACCAGGCTGGGTCCCTCCGGTTCCAGCAAGGCTCTAGGCTCTTGCTGCGAGGAAGGAAGGAAGGAAGG